CAACTGCCCACAGTTTGCTGCAGGAACGGTGCAGGCTCCAGCACCGGCCGCTCTGAGGATTACGGGTGGAGGTCAGGGTGGAGCGGAGCCTCCGATGGCTCAGGGACGCGCATTTCGGCTTACAACAGAGGAGGTCAGGGCAGAGCCAGATGCAGCTGCGGGTATGTTTCCATTGTGATATCTTGTTATCTTGTTGATTGTGTAGTATGGTTATTCTGTCTGCCTTGTTCCGCATGTTTCATAGTATGATTGAGGATCTTATTAGTTAGGAGTGGCAGTTAGTGTTCAGGAGGATTCTTGGTCGAAAGATAAGGTATATGATCTCGTTGCTTGGAATAGCGACTGCGTTGCGAGGAGTGTTCAGCTGAGATTCGAACTTCCTTGGAGTTCAGGTGTGCGATGGCGGAAGGGTTATACGGTGAAGGTTACTCACTCCCGAGGGAGTCAGTTCATGGATAAGAGGGAATATATGGAGTAAGGGCAATTGAGCCATGCCGGTTTTGGGACGGTGGTTAGTAGTCGATGCACTAAGTGGGGGAGAATTGGAAAATTCTCCGGTGGAACAACATGCATCCAGGGATGGTTAGCTGTTGGATTTCAGCGTTGTGTTAGCCGAGAATGTGGAGATAGACACGTGGGGCAGGGAACAGACCATGGTTTTCAGAGAAAGTGATTGTTGAGAGGCCTGGGATCAAGCCGGGGTAAAAGATTCATAGAACGGATGTGGAGTTCGGAACTCCTAAAGGGCTAGAACAGACTGCATGGGAGGGATTCCCGGAAGGAATGGTTCAGGGTGATGTGCGACGGCATCTGAGCGGTCCGGATAGACTGAAGGTCGGGAGGCGTACCAGTCAGGCCGAAGGTTCGGGGGAACGGTCCAGACAGGCTGAAGGCCCAGGAGGGCGGTCCAGACATGCTGAAGGTTCTGAGAGTGGTCCAGATAGGCTGAAGGCCTGGGAAGGCGGTCCAGTCATGCTGAAGACTCTGTATGTGTTCATGGATCGATAGAAGGAGAATGATTGAATAAGTCACCATGCAATAGTAATCGATATGGTCTGGCCCCAAGTATTGATCATGATGATGGAGTCGGCCGGAGGTTCAGGGAACGGTCCAGACAGGCTGAAGGCCCATGAGGGCGGTCCAGACATGCTGAAGGTTCTGAGAGTGGTCCAGATAGGCTGAAGGCCTGGAAGGGCGGTCCAGTCATGCTGAAGACTCTGTATGTGTTACTGGATCGTTAGAGTGGAGTTTAGCTCAGTGGCACTTATAAGTGCGGTTATGGTTGTGGAGTAGACTTCCTGGAAAGGAAAGGTATGTAACTCCGGAAGGAGTGTGGGTCCTTTGAAAGAGAGGCAGTGGAGTAAATGGATGATCGAAAGTGCTTCAGCTATTGGTAGTAAGCACTAGGATTGTACCAGATATATGGAAGCACATACGGGTTGGATGCCCGTTGAGGTTGTAGCAATGTTGGATGATGCGCAGGCATATTTTCGGTCTCCTTGGAAGAGGAGGAGGATAGTGGTTCCAGATCGGGGAATGGGACAGAGGAAGGTGATTCAGCAGGATAACAGACTCGGGAGCAGTCTGGACCGGTGCTGAGGAATGTATAAGGATATTACAGTCGGAGGTCAAGGACCTAAAGATCGCGATAGGGAAGTGTGAGTGGGTTATACTCAAGTGTGGAGAACCGGAGAGTTCGAGGAGGGATGCAAGGACAAGGTCCTTGGTTCCGAGTATGGTTTTGGGTTTGAGTTATGTATGTGGAGGTATTCCAATTTGGGGTATTCCATCATGAGGATGACCGGACCCTATGATTGATTGGACCTGATGTGTTTGGTATCCCAACCCGAGGGTTGATTGGGCCAAACATGGGTAGGGATACGAGGGTATTCCATCCTAGGGATGAGCGGACCCGTCGTAGGCATGCCTGGTATTCCACCCGGAGGCTGGTTGGGCCAGGTGTGAGTGTTGGTTTTGGTAAGGGTATTGATGTATGTACGTTTGGGTAGCCAGAGTTGACAATTGGCGATTTCGAGGGCGAAATCATATTTAAGTGGGGGAGAATTGTAACGCCCCGTTCTAAGAGTAATTATTCAGGATCCCCGAGATCAAGAGTAAGGGCGTTTCGGTCTTTTATGGGCAATGGGTTTTATTCGAGAAGGTTTCGGGTCGGGGTGTGTTGCTAGAAGCGTAGGGCTTCTCGCCACCTTTTCGTGGATATAAAGTTCGTCGGAAACGGGCTTAGAATAAAGGAGTTATGACACTTTGAAGATAGTGTCAATAATGGTCCCTAAAGGAAATATTTGGCAAAGGGGTCCTAGGCATGCATGGAGTGCATGCGTGTAATTGGCTGGGTACGCCCAGCGTAAGCTAGGTTACGCCCAGCATAGAGCGGTTACATGAACGCGGGTGTTTGGGGCGTACGCCCAGCGTACAGGATGTACGCCCAGCGTACGTCCAGTGTCCAGAAACCCTAATTTTAGGGCCAACCACTATATAAGGAACATTATGGTTCCAACCCTAGCCCCCATATCTGCCCTCTTACTCTCAGAAACCCTAAGTAGCCGTTTTCTTCCATGATTGTGGATATTTGACCCTGGGGAGCTTGGTTTGGCAAAGGAGAGCCTAGGAGAAGAAAGAAGAAGTTGTCAAGGAAGGAGTCGGGTGGCTGGAGCTCGTAGATCTAGGAAGGCATCATCTTCTGGAGCCCTTTTGAGGTATAAAGTCTCTTGATTGACATCTATTTTGTGTAGATCTAGGTGTTATGAGGTTTTGACACCATTTCTTGTCCCAAAAACCCCAAAGTGATGCATGATGCAAGTTGGTTGAGATTAGCTGTCCTTTCAGACCTTAGGAGAGGTCTTGAGTGAGAAAAATGAGGTCCCAAAGGCTTTGATTGTCTCATGTGTGATGTAGGTGGGTCTTAATGGATTAAGACCTTGAGTTAAGAGCTTTATGGACGTCCCAAGTAATAAAGTTTGAGACTTTATGAATCCTAGGCATGTTTGGTCGATGGATCTGAAGTTTGGGCTTAAGAGCTTAAGCCATTAAGAACTTATGTGGAATTTTAGTTCAGCGAGATTACGCCCCGCGTAAGCTGATGTACGCCCAGCGTAGTGGGTCAGTGTCCCGTTCCCAGTCCGCGAGAATCGAAGTACGCCCAGCGTACCAAGAGGGGTACGCCCAGCATACTCCCTCTGTTGGGTTTTTGATTTTGGGCCTTAAGTGATTGGGCTGTTTATGGGCTAGTGGGGCTTGGGCCGTGACTGAACATTATGGATGGAGTAATTTAGACCCAATAATTATTATGGACCTTGGATCTAGGCCCATTTGGTGAGGTGGGCCCAATTTAGTAAATTGGGCCAATATTGGGCTTTGCATGAGGATTTGGTTTTGGGTCTTGGCCCAATAAGAGGATAATGGACTTAATGAGTGTTGTGGGCCCTTGGCCTAGAAAGTCATGTTGGATTCTAACTTGGTGATTATCATGTGATAGTTGGGAGTCCCGGTGAGTCAGCGGTCAGAGATTTGCAGGATTTCGACAGTTGCAAGGTGAGTTATCCTCACTATATCGACAGGGTCTACGGCACCAAGGTCGGCCCTTTATTGGATGGAAATCCGGGTATTGTTGTTATGTTATTGTTTTGCTAGATCTGCATCCTGGTATTTTGGATGGTGTTATGTTAGTGACCTGGTTAAGGTCGGTACCCGGGATATAGGGTAATGCTATGCTAGTGACCGGTTAGGTCGGAATCCTGGTTAGGATGTTGATATGCTATGTGATCTGTTAGACTCTTTGTCTGGTTGAGGATTTTTATGTGATTAATTGTTGTATATGCACATGGTTATTTGACGGGGGTTGGGTTGAGGCGGGTCCTGCTTTGTGCTGTAGGCCAACATACCCAGGGCGGACCGGATGTTCCGAAGGCCCAGCGAGTGGTCCGGATAGGCTGAAGGCCCCAAGAAGCCGGACCAGACGTGCCGAGGCTCGGAGAGTGGACCAGGCCGACTGAAGGCCCGGTGCGGGCGGACCAGTCATACTGTAGACTCAGAGAGTGGACTAGGTGGATTGAAGGCCCGGTGCGGGCGGACCAATCACACTGTAGACTCGACGTACATGGCTAGACTCGGAGGGTGGACCAGGTGGACTAAAGGCCCAGTGCGGGCGGACCAGTTACACAGTAGACCCGATGTGCATGGCTGTTCTATTTATGATATGTTATGAGTATGATATGTGTGGTTGGTATTTTGGGGGTAACTCACTAAGCTTTCGGGCTTACAGTTTCAGTATATTGTTTCAGGTACTTCAGGAGATCGTGGCAAGGCGAAGGCGTGATCGTACTGCTCCTCATGTTTTATGATTTATATGATACGGTTCTGGGGGATACTCTGATGTTTAAAGTATTTTGAAAACGAGTTGTATGAACGTAATGGTTTTTTTGAATAATTTAAAATGTTTTAATTTGGCTCAATTTTATAGGTGTTACATATATCATATTATTGTTCTTTTGTTTTGATTTTTTTATAACATTTATCGAGTTATCGTAGTATGATATATACAAAATATATATATATATATATATATATATATATATATATATATATATCATATTATTGTTCTTTTGTTTAGATTTTTTTATAACTTTTATCGAGTTATCGTAGTATGATATATACAAAATATATATTGGTGGGCACATTTTTATTTTTGTGAAAATGACATAAATGCACTACAAACTTTCTAGGTTTTACCCATTTAGTCCTTAAAGTTCTTTTCGGGCTTTATGGGTCCCTAAACTAGGATATGACATGCTTTTTTAGTCCCTGTCAACCTGTAATAGCCGGTTCAATGACCTTTTAGACCAAAAAAACTCACATTGTGCCCTTATAAAGCCAAAAAAATAAGTTTGGGGATCAATTCATCAAAATTTAAGCCGTCGCTTGGGGTTTAAATCCTGAAGACGATTTTGTTTGATGGTATTCACATTCACCATTTTTAAAAAATGGAAGAACTCAACAACCAGGGTTCATCATGGTGGTGGGAACTGTCGGGCAGCAACCATGATCACCTTACTCTTCCACTTGCCACCATTTTAGCAATGATCTTTTCTATTTTATGGTGGAGATGGAACTCTTCCGGCTCTTCAAGTACACCATCATTGCCACCAGGCCCCCTTTCCTTGTCGATTGTAGGCTACCTTCCATTTCTTCGTCGTGACTTACACAAAGAGTTCCATAACATGGCTCACATTTACGGACCCATTTTCAAGTTTCACTTGGGAAGCAAACTTCATGTCGTCATAAATACACCTGACATAGTAAAAGGTAGTGGTCCGTGAGCAATATGACATATTTGCTAACCGCAATCCATCAAAAGTCGCCTTAGCGATCTCCTATGGAGGCCTCACTACTAGAAAAAAGGCTTTTCTTATCAGATAATGTCTGTCGTAAATGCCTATACAACGGATACCTTTCTTACACGCTATCAACAAGAATAGTATAGTTGTTTTTACCTTTTTTTCTTAATAAATCACAGTTTTCAATTGCCAAATCTCGTATCCAGGAACCCATTAGAATTGAAATTTACATGGCTAAGCACAATACTATAACCTTGTTAGAGATATGATTTGACTCTTGTGAAGCGTAATCAAAACAATCGTTCCAAAATTTGTGTATCTATTTACACTTAAACCGTAGACCAAGTACTACATCAAACTATACAACGAAACTCTAATTTCAGAAAGACCTGGTTTCAATACCTCAAACCTAGGCTCTCTTAATCCAGTAAGTGAACAACTGTAAATGAAAATATCGAACGACGATATTACGGAGAAATCGAGTCTAAATTAGAATTTTATATATAAAAAAAGAACTGTAAGATCTTTAGACGAGTATGTACCTTAATTAAGATGATAGAATGCATAAACGAACTCTCTCTCTCTCTCTCTCTCTCTCTCTCTCTCTCTCTCCTTTTCACGCTAACTCCTCTTCTTTTCTACTGTGTTTCGTAATATCGACGTTGTTATGAAGGTTAGGGGAATTTCTGCTACAGACAAGATGAATTTGGGAGATTTCAATTCTCAAGTAAGCTTTGATTCGACAGAAATAGCGAATTGATTTTGAATGGTAGTGCGAGATTTGAGGGTATCTAAGCCTTCCAGGGAATTGTTACAATAAGAAGCCCCACCAGTCTTGCAATGGACGATAGTACCCTTTTATTTCACTTTCAGTCCCTTGAGATATGATAAATTCATCAAAAGAAGATATATGGCTTTTATTTCACTTTCAGTCCCTTGAGATATGATAAATTCTTCAAATGAAGATATATGGTAATATGAATTGCACACTTGAATTTCATCATGACCCAAGTTTATTCCTCTGTTTTATAAGTCATATCTTTTGTTTTTTGAGCATTTCTTTGTGTACAGTTAAATAGTTATAGGAGTTAAGTAATGGATCAAAATAAGTTTGATGTAAAAAAAAGGTAACTTTTTATTTAGTTAACTGTGTTGGATATATATTAAAGGATTTCAATATAATTTAGACAACTTATGGACCATCCTCCATTTTCATAGTACATTTTTTTACCTATTTTAAATAGATAGTCATTTTATCCAGAGGATGGCACTCTCAGCATTTTCCTTAGCTAGTCAAGATAGTCACTGACAGCTATATTTAAAACGTACAATTTTTTTTTCTTCCTTGCATCTTTTAACAAATAACGGCTATATCGCTTCTATCAAACTTTATCAAAAATACCCTATATTTAAAATTATCCATCTAAGATAATATCTATATAATAAATTATTCTATATTATCTTAAAAACTTTAATTATTCATAGATTTTTTTGGATTGAATTTTAATTTTCAAAAACGTTTCTCTATCTTATAATTAAGTTACATTATTTATCCTTTTTAATTTCAACTTTTTACTTATAGTATTAAAGGACAAAAAGCAATTTAATTTACTCTAAAATACGACATAAATTTATGACAGACATTTGTCGTAAATCATTGATATTTTACGATATATGACATAAATTTATGACAGACTTGTATGCCTGTCATAAAATTGGTATATGTCGTAATTCGTCTGTCAAGAAAACCCTTTTTTCTAGTAGTGCCTAGATGTAGTATTTTCTGACAACAATTCAGATTGGCGTAACCTTCGTAAGATATTTACCCATGAGGTTCTAAGCAACAAGAATCTTGAAGCATGCAGGTATTTTCAAAGGGGTGAAGTTAGGAAAACTATAAAAATATATATTTATAATAAAATCGGGTCCACAATTGACATCAGCGAGATTGCTTTCTCACCAGAGGCTAATGTCCTCACAAGCATGGTTTGGGAAAACACTCAGATCCAAATGCAATAGGTAGCTATTTTGGAGCAGAGTTGCAGAGGATTTCTTCAAATATCGTTGAGCTTCTGGGACAGCCGAATCTCTCTGACATCTTCCCTAGTGTTGCATGGCTTGAATCATTATTTGTTACGAATTGATCCCCAAACTTATTTTTTTTGGTTTTATAGAGGCACAATGTGAGTTTTTTTTTTGTCTAAAAGGTCGCTGAACCGGCTATTAGAGGTTGACAGAGACTAAAAGAACAGTTCATATCTTAGTTTAGGGGACCATAAAGCCCGAAACACTTTAGAAACTAAATTGGTAAACCCTAGAAAGTTTGTAGGGCATTTATGTCATTTTCCCTTTATTTTTCGCACAGGGCCCACAAAATCAACGGGACGCTCCTGATTCTTCTATTTTGTTAAATTTAATTTGATGAAAGTTCTATTTTTCATCTTACTTTTGTTTAAAAAAATGCAATTTACCTTATGACTTTTGATTCTTATATACGCAGTGTTTAAAATAGGTTTTCTTGTTGCCAAATCAGCCAAGAAAACCAAATTAAAAAAATGATAATATTTTTTGTAGTTGTGAAAATATTAAAAGCCTCTCCACAACTGTCTTAAATATGTATTTTTTTTTGTCATTTCTCATATATACGAAATTTTATTACTATTCTGTGATATATGTTCAACTAAATAGTACCGTGTGTCATAAACTTGTAATCACACAACCAACAACCAACTTAGTTTCTATAGGTATTATAATTCTCTTTTTGTATTTTGATGTGCAGGAATTATCGTTTTAGCCGTATTATAAATTTAATTTTATAAGATTAATGTAAATGCTTCTTGTAATATTTATTTAATTAACTTTTTATCGGTATTATGAATTTAGTTTTATAAGATTAGTGTAAAGTTTCTTGTAATATTTATGTAATCAATGTTGTGGTCATGCACGTAATGTAGTCCAAGTATCCTGAAGGTATACCCTTGCTTACTTTATTTGTTCACCCGTCAACTATGGAGATACTAAATGCTGCTGTGGGGACGACATTAATACTATGTTCTTGTAATGAAACCTAATTAAAATGTTTAAACTTTTAGTCACTCATTTAAAAGAACAAGTTCTTTTTCCCATCTCTAGTTTTTTTAGTAATATCTAGACACAATATATAGCACAAATAGGTTTTTGTTGAACAAATATTTTTGACGAAAGTTGTTTGTTGTGGCTGGAAAGTTGGCGATTAAGGTCATTATTATAATTGGAATTTTTGTTCACAAGCTTGATCAAATTGACAAGGTTTAACTATTTTTTAGTCATTGTGTTTCTTTTTAGGCTAATAAAGCACTCGTTTTGGAGGACTCATATATTTTGGCACTAGATTGGTCAAAATACAACTTATGCCATATTTGTATCTAAATGCAAAAATAGCAATGTACTTTCATTTATTTGTGTATTACAATATCCTACTTCCACTTCTTTTTGTGATATCGTTGTAACTTTTATAAATATTATAATTTCAATATTCTTTATAAATTTTCATATTTCTTGCATAATTTATTTGGGTTTTACAATCTTTCAATTAGGCTTAATATTTTATAAATTTTAAGAGCAATAAGTTATGGATTTTGTAGCTAAAGCTTTCATCGTGCCAGAGAATTGATTTAATTCCAAAAAGGAGACAAAACTATCAATTTTCCACAATATTATTCTATCAGATTGCAGCCAGTTGGTGTCTCACATAGATATGCAAAACCATCAAGTTCCTGATCTCAGAAGTCTTCAAGTTGTCCCACACCTGAATGCTTTTCTTTTTTATTATAATATCATTTCTATCATAAATTATAAATAAATAATCCTATCCCATGAAAAATTGCCATGTTTTACGCTTTACCTTTACATGTATTAAGTATTTGAATGGTTAATAAAATGTCTAAAAGATACTATATCACAAAATTAAATAACCTTGCACTCGGGAAATAGAAGAAGAAGAAACAGATGAGAGTAGAATTGTAAAATTACATGATAATACTATAGAATATTTCAACCATTCTTTCATTCTATGCTATAAAAAAAAGTACAAAGCTTATGAATAATCTGTCTTGACATTTGTATCAATAAGGTGTCTATTTCAATTTTAATCTAAATTACTTCTGTTATATATGTAGAATGAATCGATAAATGAAAGCTTCTTTTTCTTTGGCTGAAATTTGTATGAAAAAACCACGATTGAACAAAAATCTGACATCGATGTCAATCTAATGCAACATCATTGACATGTCATCTTCTCATGGTAGGATGACACGTCCATTTTCTGTTACTGTAGACACGACCCCACCTTCTGTTGTACTTTCGTGGGGTTCTTTATCATTTCCATGCTCTAGTTTCTTGATATTAATTTTGAAGGTGGCCACAGGGATAATCGGCTCAGTAGTACTAGTAGCTTTTTTTGACAGAACTGGAATGATACATGGGAGACAAAGTGACATGCTATACTGAAAAGTGAGACAGACTGTAAACATTGATAATAACCTGTTAAAACCAATAAAAAAACGGTAAGCCAAAAGAGCATTCATAAAAATTAAGATGAAATTATATGAAACGAGATGACATGTATTGAGTTTGCCACCTGTACAAGTTAGGAGCACCAGAACCAGGAGAACGTACTCCATATATCAACACGCCCGCGAAAACAGACCATCCGATAAAGAACAAATCCAACCATATTTCTAACAGTTTGATTCTGCAACAGAAACAAGATCTTTAATTAAGGAAATAGATAACATATATATATATATATATATATATATATATATATATATATATATATATATATATATATATATATCTTTCATTGCAAGACGGAAAAATTTCACTACATACCTGTTGACAGAATCATTGGATGTTTCATTGCGATTGTAAAAACGCCAAAAGAGAAGAGCAAGATTTGCAACGCATCCAGAAACGTAACAGATAAGACATGCAAGTAAAGA